GAGAAATATCTTTGCCAGTTCCAACCTAAGTGCACACACTATCAATACTATCTCATTCCCCCCAGCATCTCTATGTGTTATATACTATTATTCCCATTTGAAGACGAGGAAGCTGAAACTTGGGGAGATCAAGGAATCCACATGAAGTTGTTCAGGTTTAAGTGCAGGCAGCCTGCATTAATCTGAGACAGTTTGCCCATAGAGTCTGTGTTCCTAACAGCCTTTCCTATCCCCTGTGGCCTCCCTTCTCTGCTATTCTTCTCCAGGTCATCCACTTCATGTTCATTTGTTTTCTTTCCTTCAGTCTTTAAAACTTCAAAAGCAAAGCTGTTGTGAAGGGAATGCTGCTGCTGGTATGCTCTGTCAAAGAGCTTTGGACCCTAACATCAAAAACATCATCATCATCATTATTATTATTATTTGCGATGGAGTCTCACTCTTGCCGCCCTGACTGAAGTGCAGCGGCATATTCACGGCCATTGCAGCCTCGACCTGCTGGGCTTAGGCAATCCTTCTGCCTCAGTCTTCCAAGTATCTGGAACTACAGGTGCACTAAACTGTCTGGCTAGTTTTTGTGATTTATTGTAGAGACGAGGTCTCACCAAGTTGCCCAGGCTGGTCTCTAACCCCCAGGCTCAGGCAGTCCTCTTGCCTTGGCCTCCCAAAGTGCTGAGATTACAGGCTGAGCCACCGCACCCAGTCACATTATTTTTAAGTAAGACTGAGTTGAACCCTGTATAGATTTAGTCTCCCTCAGCCTCAGAGAATGAGCTTTTCTACTGCTTCCAATCGAAGGGGATTGCTTAGAGTTGCAGGTTAACATCCTCCTGGATGTGAGCTCCTAGCTCTGTTGCAATAGTAGAGTATCTCGGACTTGACCTTTGGAAGAAAACTTACATTTGCAGCTTTAATCTGAAATAAAGGGGGAGGGGGAGACAAGTAATATGACCTTGCAATGACTTTGGTCTGCAATTTATCAAATCCTTTAAAGACCTCAAGGTCAGAATATCTACAGCCTGTATACTGGAGGCCAAAAGTTAATTACAGGAAGGTGATATCTGGGATCTGGAAGAAATTAAGTCAGTGGTTTGCAAACGGATCACTGATGGCTCTGCTCTGAGGGGATGCTCCAGAGAAGGTATGGAGGGCAGGATGGCCTGAGATAGGGGTTCACGGGACCCTTCTTCACTTTCAACCAGTTAGTACAGACTTTCACTCTTCTATCATTTTATATAACAGGCCTGTGGGTAACATTCAGTAAGCCTTTCCTTGGTTAAAAAAAATTGTACATTAAAAAGCAACTGAGCTAATCCTATTCCATTCTTTGCATCCTTTGCAACTAAGGTTCAAAAAGGCACATTGACTTTCCCAAGGTCACACATTGTTTTGACTGAAAGCTATTTCTTATATTCCTCCTTTGAAAGCTCAAATGCTGGGCCAGCTGCCAGGTCTGCTGGGCATTCGTTCCTCTGCCATCTGGATCAGCCCTCGTTGTATCCAATGGCACTGACCTGGGTATGTTTCCTTTGCATTTGGGACTTCTCAATGTGTTTGGAAAACAAAACACTGTGCAGATGTTCATGGGCAGAGTTAAGTCAAGAAGTCATACATTCTCAGTGTTCTTTCTCTTCCACCACTCAGTCTGTATGATTTCCTGGTTTATTTACACATCAAAGGCAGCCTTACATAGAACACTGAATAGTGAACGTACTGAATATGTTGCTGTCATCTTTGGCCCTTCTCCTCTGTGCCATTCCACTTTCCCTACCATTTCTATCTCTAACTTGTTCCTCCTTTCTCTAGTTGTTCCCAGTGGGATCAACACATCCACTGGAGCTGAAATTCTTGTTATTTCTAAGGATCTATGGGAAGTCATACACACTGAGATTTCCTACTGAGGAAACTCAGGTTCTTGTTCTGAAAAACAAGTACATACTGCTTTATTTATTTATTAACTCCCATGAATTTGGAAGTAAATATTGACTCTCAAGCTATTTAATCATTTATGCAGAGAAGTTATCTAATAAACCCTTTGGGTGCCCTCTATATATGCTGAGATATGTGTGTGTGTGTGTGTGTGTGTGTGTGTGTGTGTGTGTGTGTGTGTGTGTGTTTATATATGCTGAGATATATATATATATTTATTTATTTATATGTAAACTTCAGGAGGTACTTGTACAAGTTTGTTACATAGGTATATTGCATGATAATAAGTTGTGAGCCTCTACTGAACCCATCACTCAAATAGTGAGAATACTACCCAATAGGTAATTTTTAAACCTTCATTTCTCTCTCTCTCCCTTCCCCTTTTAGGGGTTCCCAGTGTCTGTTGTCCTTTATGTCTGAACATTTAGCTCCTACCTATAAGTGAGAACATGCAGTATTTGGTTTTCCATTTCTGCCTGAATTTGTTTAGAATAATGGCCTCCAGCTGCATCCATGCTGTTGCAAAGGACATGATTTTGTTCTTTTTTATGGCTGTGTATTGTTCTATGGTGTATACATACCACATTTTTCTTTATCCAATCCACTGTTGGTGAACACCTAGGTTGATTCCATGTCTTGGCTATTGTGAATAGTGCTGCACCAAATTTCACCTTTGGTTCTTCTGTTCCTTAGAAGAGTGAGAGAATATTTATCTTTTCCCCAGAAAAGAGAATTTCTGAGAGATTATAAAAAAGCTTGTTTAAAGATGCTAATTAATAATATGCAGCAATAATATGCAGTTTGCTGTAATCCTTTGTGGTCTTTTCCGTTATTTATGGAGGTTAAGATATTGAACTGGGGGCTCAGGTAAATAAATCTCTAGGGAAATGTTTGTTGCTGAGTATTTATAATGTCATATAACATTCAGGTACCAGGGAGGGGTGTGACTCTTGTTAGAGTTTGGCAAAATTTCTCCATGAAAAGCTTCAAAGCAGTACAAATTATCAGGTGTACCTGGCAGCTACTGAGTTAAAATAACTAGCCTTTATGTTTTAAAAAAAATTATTTATAGGGTTTGTCTCAAGGTCAGACTTTGGATATATATTTATAAAACAAAACCTGCAGAGATTAGTTCTTATGTCAGGTAGTTTATAGTTCTGCTCAAGAGAGAGGCGTTTGTCACTTATTTATATGTCACAGTCCCTTGTCCTTGTTTGTCAAATCCAACCACAGTATCTCAGCAGAGAGGTGACACCATATACTTTCTTATCTATTTCATTTTGTGAATTATTGTCTTCCTATTTGGGATGCTTCGGTTGCCATTCTTTCTCATTTGAATTCCCTAAAAGTAAAGTTCATCCCTGACAAGAGACCACCCTTTTTAGCTTACAACCTGTGCTCACCCTAGACCACTATCCAAAACTAGGGCAGTCCCGTGCACTGCTTGGCTTGAGGATGAATTCTTATACTTGCCACAACTCCTTTCGATGATGCTGTTTTAAAATTGGGACCCTCTTAGGGTGGAAAAAGAGAGGCAGCCAACGGTGTCACGTGTGGATTCCAAGGTCCTTGCAATTTCCAAAGTCATTTTTTAAAATTCCAGGAGTACAAAAGTACTCCTGGTCTTTTTAAAGACCTCAAATACAATATTGGTCCTTTAAAAATTTATTCCCCTAAATTGTACTGTTTGATTCCTCCTGCTCACCCCAGGCAAGAGCTCCTTGAAGCAGGGCATCACACCTGACTCTTCTGAACATGCCTAGCCCCCAGCACGGGGCACTGGACATCACAGGCATGGGATGGATATTTACAGAATTAACACATATAACTTGTTCTTTGAGATTCCCCAGGATTCAAGAACCTCGGACTTTTCATAGGACAAAACAAAACAAAAATCCAGACCTACACGAGTCTTGACAAAGTCATCCTACAACAGTACTGCTTCTTTCCTCTCCATTTTTAGCATCAACATTATACTTTGATTTTATTTTTATAAAGTTTATGACTACCTTAAGTAGCATTAAGATTATATTTTTTAGATTCATTTAACAGGGTGACAATGTTTTTGTTTTTAACTTGTTACTAATATATCATAACGTAAGGGTGTTTACCATATTTTTTAATAAGATGTCTAGTTACATCTCCTGTTTTAACTCCCTAATTTTTTTTCCCTGCACACTGCCAGGACAAGAGGAAGGGGAATGCTAGAAAATGGGAGGCCTGTAATTACACCTGTAATCCCAGCATTCTGGGAGGCCAAGGTGAGAGGATCACTTGAGCCCAGGAACTTGAGAGCAGCCTGGGCAACATAATGAGACCTCATCTCTACAAAAAATTAGCCAGGCATGGAAGTGCACACCTGTAGTCTCAGCTGTTTGGGAGGCCAAGGCAGAAGAATCACCTGGGCCCAGGAAGTCAAGGTTGTGGCTAGCCAGGAACATGCCACTTCCCTTCAGCCTGGGCAACAGAGTGAGACGCTAACTCAAAAAAAAGAAAAAGAAAGAAAAGAAAAGAACATGGGAGTGCCTTTTACCAGGCCCATGTATACTTACTGTAACTGTTTCTCACACCATCACAGTGGTGGGTTGACTTTTCTAGTCCCATCTAAAGTGAACTTAAAAAGTTCAGAGGTAACATACTATATTGTAAGGCAGCATATTTCCAGGTTCTAGGGATTAGGACATCGAAATCTTCAAGGGGAACATTATTCTGCCTCCCACGGAGACCAATATAATATACCAGCAAAATGTACTGCCTTCAAGTTTCTAACCTTCTGCATACACAGGAAAAAAGGTTTTTGGATTTTTGGCATGTCTTCTCCTGGTTCTTCTGTCTTCAATGTTACTTATTTAATTTTATAAAGAACTAACATCTGCCATGTTTGTTTGAACAAATTGAAGTTGGCAGGTGTTCAACAATGATGTAAGCTAATAGTAATGACACCGTCGTAACATAATGGAGAGAAGGAAAGCACCTTGGCAATGGAGCGCTGTGAGTTTTAGACAGAGGTTTATAAACTTACCTCATCGTGACGTGGTGAATGAACTCACAGTCTCCTAACTTTTGTCTTGTAGGCTTATGAACAGAAGTATATTGTGAAGAATTATTTCTACTATTACCTATTCAGATTTTCAGCTGCTTTGGGCCAAGAAGTTTTCTACATCACGTTTCTTCCCTTCACTCACTGGAATATTGATCCTTATTTATCCAGAAGACTGATCATCATATGGGTTGTAAGTAATTATTACTTATTAACTGCTGCTACTTCTAAGACAACTACCTGCTTTGGTATTCAGGTGACTTGTGTATGTGTTCTTTTGCTTTTCTAACCACTTAGAGTTGGATTTGTTGACTAATGTACTTTGAAAAAATTAGAAAGCTATGAACACACCGTTCCCCCCCCAAACCAAACAAACTTGTGAGTCCATGTACTTTGCTGTCTACTTCTCCCATGGGTAAGTCAAACTAGAAGAGGAGAGAAGCAATGAGCTTAGGAAACAATGACCTTTCTAAAAACCCATAGAACGGTGTAAAATGCATCTCCCAAGAGGCCCACTTTAGCAAAATTTGACCAAAAACTAAAACCAGAAGCTGTTAACTAATAATTCTAAATAGTACTAAGCAACTACTCTATATACATTGGAGAGATTAAAACAAGTAAGGCAAAGCACCTTCCTTGAGGAACTTCTAGCATAGCGGAGGCAGCTGCAAATACACAAAAACTCAGTGACAATCTCAGGATGACAGGTGGAACCCCTTTTCTGCTATTTTGCTGGTGACCCTATTATTTAACTCTGTTCAAGGCCAATGAATTCTGATTTTGTGTTTAATTGAAGGAGATGGTGGATATTTGCTGGGCAGCAAAGCATGCTACAAGCAACAGGTCATGGTATCAGATAGGCCTGGATTCAAGTGCAGTCCACATCTATGTACCCTTGTCCTGAGCCTCACATTCCTTGTTTGTGAGATGGTGTGAATAATGTGCATTCCCAGAGCCATTATGGAGCTGTCTAGAATGTGCACTGAGCTCGGGGCCTGGCATATGAGAGGACACGACAAGTCACTATTTGAGCATGATTATGCATGGTGACTAGTCCGTGAAGGTCGAGGAGACTTGAAGATCAACCGAGTCAAAGTTAATTTAGCTGACAGAGGGAGCTTCTGGGACAAGACTGTTTCCCTGACTCAAGATTTTGCTCTAAAAGCAGAGATTCAGAAGCCCTTGTTTGGATATGAAGGAAAAGCTGTGTGATCTTAAGCAAGTGACTTCTCCACTCTGGACTTTATTTTCCTCATTTTGATTGGGATCATACATGCAAATGTCCTCAGGGGCAGGAAATGGAAGTAAAAAGTGATGTCCTGGGAGGCAAGGGGTTGGGGGCGGAGGATATCCATGGGAATCTTCACCACGTGGCCATCTGGGCGCACTGGGGAGCAGCAGTCCCTGGGCTCCACCTGTGACTGCCTTGAGGAATATGGGTCCAGAGTTGCTTCCTGTTTTTCATGTACAGGCTCCCAGTTTTAAACTGTAGGCTTACACTTTTAAAACATTGTATTCCAACTGAACACAGACTCCTTGAAGTCCAAATGTATGGGCTCAGTTTGAAGCCTCTAGTCTAAAAGCTGGCCGAAGCTTATAGTTAGGATTATTTGACCCCAAATTCCTTCTGACTTTTATTCTTTTCTCTCTAAAACCATAAGCCACTTTTCTCTTTTCCCGTCCCTGACTCCCTGTAGTCCTCTTCTGAAATCTAGCTTCTGTCTAAAAGTATAATCTGAGAATCTGCAAAAGCACAAGCATCTTGCAAACCATAAAAGGAGTTTAAATCCAACTGTCTCTCTCCTTTTCTGAAGGCTGCTTCTGCCAAGAAACAGTCAGGGTGGCAGCAGGAGTGAGAAGGAGGGGGAGCATATCTTTTGGTCATGATATTTGAAAACCCGTGGAAGAACCACGATGCTTGAGTTTCTTTCCCTCTGTCATTTATTTTCCTTCTATCTATGGAATGACTCCAAAAAAATGGAATTTATTTATTAAAAAGTGTACATTTGTTCCTACATGTCTAAATTTCAGTCACCTGCAAAGTACTCCCCGTTTGATGCAATACACCTATCAAGATGCTTTTTCTAGTGCTCAAAACAGTTTTGGAACTCATCATTTTTGATGCTGTTTAGTGCTTCTGCTGTTTTTTAATTTCACTTCTTCCATATTGGCAAAACATTTCCCTTTGAGGACTTTTTCATCGGGGGAAACAAACAAACAAACAAAGACACTCTGAGCAGGATCAGATGAATAGGAAGGGTAAGGCATGGGGGTCATACTGCTTTTGGTTAAAAATTGCTAAACACTCAGTAAGGTATGGTCAGGTGCACCTGTAAATCACATCATAAAATGGGCAAACACGTTGAAAGAATCTTCAAAAAAAAATTCACTGAAGCCAAACACAGCCTCTCACAACAATGCTAGTTGGTATGCTGATGGCAATGGGTCTCTAGAACACTTACCTCATGGGGGAACCTTGTAACTACAAGGGACCCTCCAAAATATAAATCCATGTTTTTTGGGGTCCTCCCTCATATGTATACACACACACACACAAAATCCCCAAATCTTAATGGCGGTTGAGTGGGCCAGATGATGTGAAATACATTTAACAACCCTGGACTATCTCGTAATGTGTATAGTAGACTCAAGGCCAATGTTCTCCCCCACGGAGGGCAGAAGATTTTTCGAGGGGCTAGAAAGACCTCTAGACTTGATAGGAGGCCGTGGGTAAGAGATTCTGATTATCAATATTGGTGGTTTTTTTACACTTGAATTCTTCACTTCTAAGTGCTAAAGTGCCTGTTTGAGACCAAATGACAGGGTTTTTTTCAGAGAGGCACATAAAATCTTTGCCTGAGAAAGAAGTAACCTTTGAGTCTTTGGTTTGACCTGAGGTTTGGTGACCTGTTGTTTGATTTTTTTTTTTTTTTAAACGGGCACATGACCTGGTCTACAAGGACCCCATGCTGAGAGTTATATGGTTATTCTGTGTGGTCAACTGCATCCTTAAGGGCAGCATGGGGAGAGTAAGGTAGTGAGAGAATTCCTACCAGTGCTTGATGGGGAAGGTGAAAACCATTCCAAGGGGGGAGGAAGGGAGACAGTTGTAGGTGTGCTTAGGTGAATGTGCATATGCTTGGGTGTGTGTGTGTGTGTGTGTGTGTGTGTGTGTGTGTGTGTGTGTGTGTGTGTGTTGGAAAGGGAGCTGCTCTTTGCTGGGCTGCTGAGACAATAATGAGAGGTGTTTGGTTTGGCTCCAGTGTTGAAGGTAGATGAAAGAAAAGGAAATTCCTGGTGCTGTTGGGGGTTGGGAGGGAGAGTGGGGTGGAGCTGGGTGTGCTTCTGGTACTTGGACCAGCCAGTGCAATCAACTCTTAGTGGAGGCAGCCTTTTTTCTGTTAGGGATATCCCAAATTAGTGGCTGCCTCTTGAAGGGGTGGCAATTAAGAAATGTTAATTACATAAGGGGTGGGGCTTGAAGTCTTAGAACTTTAAACATCTTATCTCACCCCAAATTTGCTGGAAGGCAGCTATGTTCAGGAATACCAAGCCTCCTGTCAAATTTTATATTAACTTGATAGCTGTCACTGGATGAAGACCCAACAGGTTTTATTCATTTAAAAAATCATTCTTTATATTAAGGGTGACTCATACTGTCTGAAGTAGCTTAGCAGAATTTATGGTTATATTAATTGCTATCTCTTCACAATCATAATTATTCCTCCCCTCTGTTGCATATCTTTTATTGTTTTTTATTGGAATCTGAGTTCATTATCTTATTTGCACTTCATGACAATGAGTTAATGTTATTTTGTAGATTGAAATAGTAATTCTCAAATATTAACAAGCCAGATCATACATTGAGCATGTAGTAAGTATGCTATTCACCTCATTTAATCCTGCCAGCAGTCCTGAGTAGTTATTACTAGCCCATCTTACAGATCATGAAACAGAGATACAGCAAGGCTAAATAACTTGCCCAAGATCACATTGGATTAAGTGGCAAGGTGGATTTGATCCTTCCCCTAGGCTTTCTCTGCCAGAGAGAGCTGTCATTGTTGTTTCTTAGAAGAATACAGCTAAGGGCATGATATTAAAACTGGGACTTTAAACATTAAAATGATTTGCCCAAACTTCTCTTCTATTGCATTCTTGCTTTGGTTTTGTTTCAGCTTTGCCTTAACAGTATTTATTTATTTTTCATTATATATGTGATATATTTTGTATTATATATATTTATGATATATTATTATTAACCCTATATTAAACATATGTGTCTTTTATCTACCTTTCTTGATCAACCTAGGGTATTTTATCCCAGAAAATTTAGATGAACTTTTATTAAATCAGCTAAAAGACAGCAATTAGTCATTATTTCTCTCTTCTGTCCTGTATCAAGATTTTTAACCTGTCTTTGAGCTCAGAAGAATTTTAGACATTGGGACAGAAAAGTCTGAGAATGGGTTGCCTGATTAGAGTGCTTATAAAGAGATACGGTAGATGGTGTTTCAGAAGGTGAGTCACTGTGCCATGGAGTGATTGTCTAATCTCTCATTTTGGCATGGAGATGGCGCTAACAACAAAAAAAAAAATTCAAAAAATTCAAAAAATTCAAATATCTGTGTATCTTTAAAAGGTCAGACACAGTTTCACTGAAACTGGATGATGTTCGGCTTTGTAACATGAAGCAAGTCTCATTCACTTTTTGCTAAATAAAGTTATTCCCCATTTTGTAAAACAGCAACACGAAAATTGATACCACAACTGATCTCTGAGGCTTGGAAGCCTCATGATTTCTGTTCTTATTTTATTTTAGACGTATACATATTTATTTATATATTTATTTATATTCTGCTTTCCATAAGCATTTCGTGGCATTTGTGATGATATGTTTTTAAAAAATGGAATAAGTATATAAAAATCAAAATAAGGGAAAATATAGCCCCGACTAAAGTTAAATGTACCATGCTGGTTCAAAGGTGAACCTCAAATTAGTCTCTGGATCAGGCATGGTGGCTCATGCCTGTAATCCCAGTACTTTGGGAACCCAAGGCAGGAGGATCCCATGGAGCCAGGAGTTTGAGACCAACCTGGGCAATATAACAGGACTCCGTCTTTACACAAAATAAAAATAAAATTAGTTATTTAACTTTGCCTTAACCAAACAAATGTAGTTGTATTATCCACTAG